AGATCGCCGGCCTTCCTTCTTGACAGGCATGGAATGTGCAGGTTGTCTTCATGTGCATTTTTTTTTTTTTACAATATGATTCTAAATTTAGGATACTTGAGTCATAAAAATATTGTGGAGGCAGAATAGTGTGTTCTGAGATTTGTCACCAACTTCTACCATAACTACTTATGCTGCCACTGCTCATGGGGACTTAAGGGACCCTTACATCAGATTGAACCAAGAGTAGGTATCATAGCATATGACTGTAATCCCAGAATTTAGGGGATAGAGGCAAGTGGGTCAGGAGTTCAAGGCCAGCCTCAGCCACATAACAAATTTTAGACCAGCCTGAATTCACCATGTGAGATCCTGTCTCAACAAAACGAAAGGAAACGAAACAAAACGAAACAAAACAAAAGCTAAAAGATTTAATGAGTGGTTCTTTTTGTTGTTGTTGTTGTTGTTGTTTTGTTTTTCGAGACAGGGTTTCTCTGTATAGCCCTGGCTGTCCTGGAACTCACTCTGTAGACCAGGCTGGCCTCGAACTCAGAAATCCGCCTGCCTCTGCCTCCCAAGTGCTGGGATTAAAGGCGTGTGCCACCACCGCCCAGCTTAATGAGTGGTTTTTAACAACTGTTTTTCTCCTAATGTTGTCAGGCCAAAGATTTTATCCAGGCAGGACATGATGTTTAGTGACTATCTCCTCCTGACAGTTCAAGATTTGGGTCAAGGGGCTGTCTGGTACAATGTTGCTAGCTAGGACTTGGCTCATATTTTTGGGCTTTTTCTGAGGTGGACTGCCATGTCTATGAGTTTGCAAAAGAAGAAAAAAGCCATGGCAGAATTTATATTCCAGTACGAAAGAATCTGTGAGTTAGCCAGGCGGGTGGAGGCACACTAGAACTCTGGAGGCAGAGAGGCAGGCACATCTCTGAGTTCGAGGCCAGCCTGGTCTATAGAGGGAGTTCCAGGACAGCCAGGACTACACAGAGAAACTCTGTCTTGGGGAGGGGTGGGGAGAGAATCCGTGACTTACCTTGGAGGGTGGTAGCCTTGACCACCTGGTCAGAGTGTTTATATCTTTGCTGTGTGATGTTATTCAGCCTGTTCCATCCCTGGGGGTGGGGGAGGGAGGGCAGCCCCACCACCTGCAGGGTGGGGAAGCAGTTTCCAAGTGGTCCCACGTGAGTCTGCTGCACGGTGATGTTGTAGCTGTCTTCTTAAACATGCTCAGTGATGTTCGCCTGGTGACAAATGACCAAGCACACACACTGTTCGGAAGAAGCCTCTTAAGTGACATGTGACTAGGCTTGAGGGCTATCTGTCCTCTGGCTGGGAGCTGACCTGAGGACGGTAGGTGTCCGTGTGAGGGATGAGTACTCCCCATTTGTCTCTTTCCCATTTACTTTGCTGTCTTTTATGGGCGTCAGCATGGATTCACGGATATTGACTCACACGCTAGAATCTATTGCGACGTTAATTAGGTTGCTCCTATTGTGAGGGCTCTTCAGTTGGCTCCTCCGCTAAGCTCCGCCTACCCAGGATGGCAGTCATTTGGGGCACTTCTGAGCCTTGCTTCTACCGCGCCCTTCCTTTCTAGCCTTGGTGTGAGCCAGTTCTCCAAGGAGTCCTGTCACCGGGAAATGGACTCAGGGGCCAGTCTGAGCATTGGGTGTTATTGCTACGGGGGTGGGGTGGAGGGCTCTGAGCTGGTCCTTCTCTCCCTTCGTTCATCTCTCTTCAGCAGAATGCTAGCTCTTACTCCCAGCCCCACACCTACCCCTACCCCACTGCTTTTCTGTTCCCCTCATTCATCTCTGCCTGTGCCATCCGTTCCCACCCCGCCTCCTCTCCTGTCTCTTCAGTTCCAACACCTGCCCAGTGCTCTTGAAGGCTTCAATGGTCGATGGACTTTTCTGTATGCTGGCCTCCCACTGCCCTCTTGGGGCTGAGGCGTGCACAAATCTGGGGCTGCTGTGTTTTTCATCTCTCTCCCTGGAGGCATCTCTATGGGAAGGATGTTCCTGGATGGTCCCAGTAAACCTGAGCAGAGGGCGTGGCCAGGACAGTGAGGCCTCCTCCGGACACACTGAGCCCTAGGCTGCCAGGTGACAACAGAGGCACCCTCAGGAGCCCAGGGGGCACAGGTCACACATGGCCTACAGTGTAGCCATTCCATTTGTTTTGTGTATACTTTTGAATTGGAAGATTGTACCCCAAAGGAAACCTGGGTCATTTCCAGGTTGGTGAGGGGATCATCCTGGCCTCATCGCCATGTGATGTCCTGGGCAGGACACAGAGGCTTCTGTTCTGCCTTGAGAGGTGGGGGGAGTGGGGAGCCCCCCAAATGCCTTCTCAAATCTGCTTCAGATGTCCATGGTTCCCTAAACTGTGCCTGCGGAGCAGCTTATGAGCCTGTAATTAAAGCAACTCTTCATGCCACTGAAGTGAGACAGTGCAAGCTGTCCCTCAGGGTTTCTTTGCATGGTCTAAGATGACTGGAACCTCAGTGGACACAGGGGAGCTCAAGACATAGGCTCTTTGACCCTGTGCAGGGCCGGGGTACGTGTGTCATCACCAGCCCTTGTATTATGGAGTGCGGTAAACCCCGAGTATCTGGACCTAACCTCCTTGGGCTTTTTTTGGGTAATAGCACTTCTTGGGTAACCACCTCTGAGGTTGAATGTCCCCACTGGACACATGGTGGTGCTGGCTGTACCCATAAAAGCTGTCCCCTGAACCTGGACAACTGAAAAGGGTGGAGACGGCTGGCTGGCTGGGGCTGGCAGGACCACTGATGTGTGTCTCTCTGGGAGAGTGGGAGGAGGCTTCATCACAGGAATAGCCAGCAGCCTGTAGTCATGAACGCATGGATCAGCTCCCTTACAGACAAGGAGGTCACAAAGGAGGGTGTGCAGGGACCAGCTTTGTCCTGAAGAGGGCTTGGCCCAGCTTGATGTTTATTTATAGGAAGAAGGCACTTGGGGTCCTGCTCAAGTTGTCCAAACACACCCCACATCCTCCCGAGTGCTGTGCTCTTGAACCTGTCCCCAGGTGGCACCACTCTAGGTCCTAGACATCTCAAAACAAAGATATTGTGAAGTTCCTCATTCCATCAGGAGCTGACAGAATCCCACACGGAATTCCAAAAGAAGAGCACTAGTTATTGTCACCCACTGTGCCCTCCCGTGACAGAACAGGCACATTCAGATCAGAGAGGAGAGGCTGGCACTGCTCTTGATGTGGACTCTCGAGTGACACCTTTCCTGCTGACACTGTCAATCCTGGCTCACAGTAGAAATGACACAGCAATGAAAGGGGACTGCGTGGGATAACCAAAGACAAGACACAGACAACCACAGGTGGCACCGAGCAGTTGGCCCTGCTTTACTGGGACAGCACCCTGACACTGTCACAGTATACATGTGACATGCTCTGGTAGAGCATGATTCAGTAATAAACAGCCAGTAAGCAGATCATGTAAGAGCAACATAAAGACGACCAGGTTTTTAAAACAGATAATTATTTTTACTTTTGTGTGTGTGCCCGGTGCCCACTGAGGCCAGAAGAGGCATGCAATTCCCTAAGTCTGGGATTACAGACAGCTGGGAGTTGCCATACAGGTGATGGAAATTGAACCTGGGGTCCTTCGTTGATCTTAGCCACTGAGCCACCTCTCCAGTCCCCTCTGCCCCCTTTTGGAACAGGTTCTCACTACGCAGCCCTGGCTGGTCTGGAACTATGTAGAACAGACTAGCCACTTCATCTTACTGATCACTCAACATAAGAACTCAAAAGGAGCTCCTTCATCCTGGCAAGGTGGTACACATCTGGGAACTTGGGATGTGGAGGCAAGAGGATCAGGAGTTCAAAGTCATCCTTGACTACATAGTGAGTTAGAGGCCAGACACAAAATAAATGTAAAAAAAAAAATCTACAAACAAAACAGACAGGAGCTGACAGACAGACACATTTAATCCCAGCTTGTGGGAAGCAGAGGTGAGATCTCTGTGAGTTTAAGTCCAGGCAGTGATACTCTGTCAACTTCCAACAAAGCCCTTCCATTTATCTGATTCTGTGTAAGAGTCTAGAATCGTGAGTGTGGCAGTGCTTGTCACCTTTGGTCAGCACCTTTGCTCTCTAGACGTATCCCATACTCGGTGGTCCCCATAGGCAGGTGAGTGTGTGTGTGCGAGAGAGAATACAATGTTTTTCCCTGAGGTTTGTGCTGTGGACAGGGAGGAGTGGCTGCCTAGGAATTGGGAGACTCAGATTAGGCACGCTCAGTAGTGTCAGGGAGTCCTCTGAGGACATCTTCAGTACATATGTATATAAAAGTCACCATTTGTGGCTGCAGCCACTGGGGCTAAGGAGGCGGAGGTCTGGGCACTGATACAAGCTGACACACCTGAGGGAAGGAAGCACAGAGCTAGCTGCCACCTGCCTGCTGGGGATGACTAGGCATCCCTCGAACCCCTGGGTACCCAATGGAGGAGCCCAGCAGTTCCTTTCGGTTGTCGGTGCATCTCTCATGGACACTCATTTTCCTGCCCTGCCCACATCAGCCTCTGGAGGCTCTGAGTGTCTTGATGGAAGCACCAGGCCTACAGTGAGGGCCACTGCTCGGAGGAAAGGAACCCATTTCTGGTAGGGCACATGGCAGAACCTTCAAGGGAAGTCTGAGCAGCACAGAAGAGTCCGGAACAGGCTCCAGTGTCAGGATGGAAACGGGGCTCTGGTCTCAGCCTAGCACAGCAGGTCTTCACTTCTGATGTCAGGACCCTGTGTGCTGAGCAAAGGCCTGAACGGAGGGACACACAAACCTGCATCTTCACGGAGCCATCAAGAGCCTGAATGTTAGGATGACCTTTGACTGACGGGCCTGGCAGTGCCTCTCAGGGGCACAGGTGGGACATCCCAGCGCACACCCCTTCCACAGGCACTGGAAGGAAGCCTGCTTTCCCCACACGCTGGCTTATTAACTGACAGACATACCAAAGGAAGGAGCTGTCCCAGGCTGCTAGCTAGAAAAGGTGTTCTTCCCATTTTATTTGATAATACATTTTCACAGAAACATGATATATTTACATATATACAGGTAAGAGACTGCTGGTCAAAAATTTGAAACAGAAAATGTCACCAAAAATTTACAAAAGCCGCCGACTGACCCAGGGAGTCGGGCTGGAGAACCTGGATGGCCGCCTGTAGGTCGGCGCGTGTAGGTCGGCGTGAGCTGGCAGCTCAGCTGCTGACCTCTGGACCGTGGCTGCTCTGAGCAGTAGCCCAGCACCTGTGGCCACAGCCGTGCTGCTCGCCCGGGGCTGCTCCATGGCAGGCTCTCAGGATGCGCTGGTTTGCAGGTTTTTTGAAGCTGCGAGCATTGCTCTTACTTTGGCCATGAGATCCTGTGTGGGGAGACATGAAGGAAACCTGAGCCTCTTGCTGACCAGATTTGTGAGGGCCATGGTGAGGACAGGAGGCAGAACTTCCAGCAGCCACGCCTTTGAGTCATGTACGCAGCTGTGAACTCTTTCCAGGCCATACAGGGATCAAGGTCACCCTCTCTGTCTTGTCACAAACCTCTCACAGCTGTGACCACATGTGGCCCGAGGGTACAAATGTGGACTAGGATGGCAACCCCACGGGACATGAGCTTCCTTTGGAAGATGAGACTCCCCAGGAAGTAATTCCTTCCCCTTCCTGCTAGGCTCTGACCTAGTGATGGACTATGGCAGGCCAGCACCAGAGTCAATAGGTAAGCAGCCCAAGATTTTGACTGGGTCAGTACTGGTGAAACAAGTAGGACAGTTATCAGAAGAGGAAGACATGGCATTACAAAGGTGGAAAGGAAAGCAGAGCCCCTTCTTACCTGAGTTATTTTGCTCTGCACAGAGGAGACGATTGCTGAGGAGATCTGGCCATCTTTTTCCTGAGAAACCCCCCTAATGCAGAGGAAAGAACAGAGGCTCAGACATCCCAGCATCAGAAGGGCAGTTCCCATTTCCTGTAGAGCACAGCTTCAGGTCCCTGTGCTTACACGGTGAGCATTTGCCCCACGGAGCCACCTGCCCATCCCGGGAGCATGCATTTGTGTAGCTGCTTCCAGGGCCTCATAACATGAAACAGCTCACACTTTACCAGCAGCATTACGTAAGCGCTGGGAAAGGGGGCTAGGGAAGGGGCACCCGCAGTAAGGAGCAGGCTAGGGAAGGAGCACCCGCAGTAAGGAGCAGGCTAGGGAAGGAGCACCTGCAGTAAGGAGCAGGCTAGGGAAGGAGCACCCGCAGTAAGGAGAAGGCTAGGGAAGGAGCACCCACAGTAAGGTGCAGGCTAGGGAAGGAGCACCCTCAGTAAGGAGCAGGCTAGGGAAGGAGCACCCGCAGTAAGGAGAAGGCTAGGGAAGGAGCACCCACAGTAAGGAGCAGGCTAGGGAAGGAGCACCCGCAGTAAGGAGCAGGCTAGGGAAGGAGCACCCACAGTAAGGAGCAGGCTAGGGAAGGAGCACCCAAAGTAAGGCTGCTGGGATCAGAGCAGCAGCCTCAGTAGCTTTTGCTTCCCATGCAAGGCTTCCGTGGATGTGGACAGCACCCATGTCCTGGAGCTCCCTACACTCCTTCTAGGATAGGCCTTTCAGATGCTGACCCCAAGGTGAGCTGTGTCCCTCATGGAGCAGCCCTGGACCACTGAAGATCCCTGGACTTCAAGGCCTGATTGTTTGGTAAATGCAATTCCCACAGGAATAAACTCCTGAGATCCTGTTTGTCACTGAGACCCACCAAGTCCTGCATGGCACCTCAGGAGCTCTTTCCCTTTGGAAGGAATCTGGATGCCTGGTAAGGCGTGGATTCGGGAGTTGCCTACAGTGGGTGCTGTCCAGGCCTGGCTGCCCTCCCCTTTGCTCCTTCCCACTGAGAGCCACTCAGCAGGCATGGCTACCTGGAGCGTTCCTGGGAGGAGCCCCGGCTCTCCACAGGAGAGATGCTGGCCGAGTGGGCCGAGTGGGCCGAGGGACGCTGTGCTGCCTGTTTCCTCGGGGATGTTGACTGCGACCGGGCCTTGGCCTTGGTGCGAGACCGTGAGCGCCGTTTCTTCTTCTTCTCATGGGGACTTCTGAAAGGGAAGTGCTCTTGTCAGGGGACATGGAGTGCTGGACAGGAGGGCAGTCTGAACTTGCGTGACTTTTTTTTTTTGAGACATATTCTAGGATGGCTATGAACTAACTATGAAGCTGAGGATGACCATACACTCATTTTCCTTCTTCCTCCTCCCAAATTCTGGCATTACAGAATGCACGATCGTGTGTGTGTGTGTGTGTGTGTGTGTGTGTGTGCGCGTGCGTGTGCGTGTGCGCGCGCACGCGTGCGCGTGTGTTACAGGCAAACTGAATAAGGCATCGTGCATGGCGGGCAAGTACTTTAGCAGCTGAGTCTATCTCCAGCCTCACATGCATGCTTAGACAGCTGTAATCCTTCAGTCAATTGAGCCTGTGCAGCCACAGAGTACAGGGTGTTAAAAGAACCATCCAGAAGCTAGCCTCTGCATAGGGGAAGCTTAGTCCTAGGGAAATGTCTGGCATTTAATGTATGACGAATCATCTATTTGCATTGAAAATACCAAGATAACCACCAAAGAAAAGCCTCTAGGAAAGTCTATTCTGCTTTCTCATTCATGTCAAACGATAAGAAATGATCAGCCAAATCCTGTGTACATCAGCTTCATCTGCTGAAAACACAGAAGGCAGCCTGGGCCCTGTTCTGGGAGTGTCTGATATACGCAGTGCCAGCTCAGCTCTGGCTACTGCCCAGTTCACATCACAGCAGGGCAGGGCTCCCAAGCCTATCCGGCCCCATTCCACTCCTTCTGAGGGCTCTGGCACTGTCTAGCTGTTTATACCATGTACAGATGTATGTACACATGAACACATGGTGGGCAGACCAGGAGGGTGCATACTTGGTGAATACCTTGCATATCCCCTCAGAGCACCTCCAGCACACAGGGTGGTAGCGCCACTGCCAGCCTGCATGCCACCTCCCACAAAGTCCGTCTTGAGATGGTCTGCAGATTTCTCACTGCCTCCGAGGGCTCCTCCCTCCCTCCCGGGCTGCAGGACCCCACCAGGCAGCCTTCCTGCTCAGCTGTACCTTTCACAGTGTGTCCACTTAAATGGGAACACTGATAAATCATTGTTGGCCATTTCTCTCCTGTGACCACCACGAACCCCCAGCTCTGTGGCATTGGGGTTTCCAGAGGAATCACAGAGGCCCTCCCCAACCTGGCCTGGTCCTCTATCCTCCAAGAAGGGCCCACTAAAGCCTGTCCACACTGATCGACAAGGCTGAAACAACTGTGACACTGGGCTGCATCCTGTTTCGTATTAGGCTGCGTGATTCCCCTCTATTTCTTTGGTGCCATGATGCAAAATGTTCCTGCCTAATGAGAAGGTATGGCTGGGGTCTGCAGCATGCAGACTCCATGGATGTGCCACACTCCATACTCAACTCCAGTGCCCACAGGTTTTTACAGGCTGACAAGCATCAGCAGTCGGCCAGTGGGCTCCACGCAGGCACCAGACTCCGCACAGAGGCCCCTGTGAGGCCAGCTGTGTCATTCCAACCAGTGTTCCAGCCTGGCTTTCCGTGCAGCACCCAGGTAAGAGCAGACTCCTGGGCCTGAGGAGCACAGCTGCCTCGGGGATCCAGCACAGCTTCAGTCATAACCAAAGTCCAGAAGGACAATAGCTTGTGACTGAGATTTAGCTCCAGGAAGGCAGTGTCCCTAGGCTGGAGCTGTGGGTGGCAGTCTGGTGTCCTTTGGCAAGGAGACATGGATCTAAGAGGAAATGGTTCAGATACTGGGCACACGCAGGGTGAGCTGCTGGGCTGGGGTGTTTGTGTACACAGATGAACTGGGTTTCAGAGGGGGCAGCTCAGGATGGTCAGGGCCACAAAGCTGGCCAGGGCTGTGTAGCTATATGCTATATACTGAGTAAGAGTGAATGGCTTCCTAACCAGAACTGAACTGTGAGCTTGGCTTGGTGTGTGTGTGTGTGTGTGTGTGTGTGTGTACGTGAGCACGCGCCGTGTACACACTTAAGAGCAAATATGGAGGTCAGAGGATGACAGGATGGTTTCCCATTCTTCCACCCTTTCATGAGCCCTGGGAACAGAGCAGGTTGCCAGGCTTGCATAACACAGCGCCTTTACTTGCTGAGCCATCTCATCAGCCGGTTTCATCTTAACAGTCTGACCTCACACAGGAAGAAGTCAAGCTTTTGCAGTTTGCTCACTTCTGAAGTGGCTGAGGTGCACTTTGCAACTTGGCCTTCTGTGGTGTTGCTGAGTAGCCAAAGCAACACTGCAGCCTGTTGTTCTGGAACATTCCCTCAATGTACTTTTCAGCCTATGCCAGTCTTCACACTCAATCGTGACGTCTTCTTTTTAGCAACCAACCCCCGCACCACTCTCTGTGGGGCTCTGCAGTGCTCCCAAGTCTCCTGCAAAACTGGACATGCCTCTACTTTCTTACACCAACACCAGCACTGTCCTGTGTGCAGTTTCGGTCACCTCACATCTCCTTGTTTCTTAACCAAATGCTCTCAGTGCACCCTGGGGGAAGAGCAGCTATGAAATCCGGCGGGTTTACCTGTAACCTGTAAGAAACAGTGAGCCGTGGTGCAGCTATGAACACGGGCTGGCAAGCACGCTCACCCACTCACACTAAGCAAACGCATGGCCTCACCGTTTCCCTTAGTCCCGACTGGCAATGTTCAGCAGCTTCTAAGTGTACCCTGGTAAGTGTATCTCTGTGCCTCAGTGGCTTCTGGTCAGACACAGGAACCTTTCCAGGGGGACTCACCACACGGTCTCTTGCTTATCTCTGGAGGCAGGTATTTGACTCTGATGACACTGATTATATCACATTTTCCTCCCATGGTGGGGTCTCTTCTGTGTTCTTTTGAGTGGGTGTACACGTGCGTGAGGAGGACAACCTCAGACCTCATTCTTCAGTTGCTATCCTTATTTATTTATTTATTTATTTATTTATTTATTTAGGACAGAGCCTCACTGTGGAGCCCTGGCTGGCCTTAAACTCAGAACTCTGCCTGCTGAGTTCCAGGGGCCTGCCTCTGTTTCCCTGGTCCTGTATCACAAGCACGTGCCATCTGTCCGGCTTTTTACCTGCATCCTGTAGACAGAACTTGGGTACTCCTGCTTGTGTGGCAGATACTTTAGTCTCAGACACACTGTTTTCTGGTTCTGACTTGTGCATTTAGACTAAACTGCACTAACGTGTGTAGTTTGTTCTTTCTCATCCCACTAGAGAAGTCTCTGGTCCCCCCTGACCGCTTCAGGGCTGTGGTCTAAGCACAGGCCCAGGCCACAGTGTGGGCTCTGAGGGAGTTACAGTCAGTGCTTCATGATGAAGCTTGACTTCACCTTCCATGGAAATCTAGGCGGTCAAAGTCCTCCGCCTTTGTTCTTTGACCATCCTGGTCTCAGTCTGTCTCCCAGTTCCTCCATTTACAAGTCTGTAGGCCATTCCTGCTTGATCAACCTAACCACAGATCCATCAATTCTTTGCCTATGTCCTGCGAACAGCCCTTGACTCTGCCCCTTCCCGCTGCCGCTGCAAGTGGTCTCACCTCACTTTCATGACCTCCTTGCTTTGACCCTGCCTAGCTCCTTCCCCACACTGCTGTCCTCTTGTGGTATAGTTACAGAAAGCCACGTCTTTCCCAGCTGGCACCTGCACAGGAGAAAGGCCATACGTTCACATTACCCAGTTCCAAACATGGTTGACACTTCTCTTGGCGAGAGTGAATCAGTGTGCTGTAAACCCATCTGTGGCTTTCCATACTGTCACAGGTCTCTGGCACACTGTGCTGTGGGAAGAGAACATTGAGCACCAGTGTCCTGGTCAGTGTTGTGCCCCTGTGCGCTGGCCATGGCTGCAGAACACTGGTGTCTGCTTTCTGCTTGCCCTGTATTCTGCTGTTTCTCTTCTAAGCCCTGGAAGAGCCATCACTGCATTTTGCACATATTTTGAACATCACATCCCAATGATAAAACGCCTGCCTTGGAGTCAGCTGTCACCTTCTTGCCATTAGAACGGGGAACTGCATCTTCCTCGCCTTTTAAAATCTCCCGTTAGTGTATTTATTTTTAAAGTGTCTTTTTTTCCCTCGAGACAAAAGATCCAGGCTAGCTTCAAACTGGCCATGTAGCAGAGATGACCCCTTTACTCCTGCCGTCCTCACCTGCCACCTTCCTATAGGCAGGCCCTGTTTATGGCCAAGACTGAACCAGGAGCTTGAGTCCTCTACCCACTGAGCTCCATCCCAGACCCCACACTGGCTTGGAGGTTCCTGGAGTCTGTCACAATCAGACAGAATAAGGCAACAGGAAATTGTACTGTCTACCTGTCCAGAGCAGTGCTGAACAAGAGAGGGGCCAGCTAACAACAGAGGAGGGACAGGAACAGAAAGTAGCCATTCTTGCTGTCACTAACTAAGGTGGCAGGAAACTGCTGGGAGAAGGGCTCCCGTGCTTGCTCAGTGTCCACTGGAAGGTGAGCTGCTTGGTCAGAGGTCAAGACAGGAGCAACTTTAGCTGAGGGACCAGGTGTGTGCGTTATCACCAAGGCACTCCTTCTGTGCCAAGTACCACAACCCTGCAGCACTGTGGGCCTGCACTCTTTAGCAACGTAGGAAGGAAGGGCAGTGGGTGGAGCCAGAGGGAAGCAGAAGGGCACAGCAGCCAGGTGAACTGCTGACCACATGTGTGAGGTGCTCTCAGTACCAAGGTAAGACCCGTAGTTAGTGGGCAGGGCAGTGGTGGCGACCCCAGCACCAGGGAGGCAGAGGCAGGCAATCTCTGAGTTTGAGGCCAGCCTGGTCTACAGAGTGAGTTTTAGTACAGCCAGGGATACACAGAAAAACCCTTGTTTTGAAAAACAAAAACCAAAACAATCCCGAGCCCTTGGTCAGCACGGTAACCAGTCTGCAGGCCAACGCTTCCGGCTGAGTGCTATGAGCAGCAGGAGCACACTGTCCTTCTGCCGGACACCAAGGAGCATGGAACCGAGGCCCACGCTGCCTCGGCACCGACACTGAGACGCAGTGAGGGAGTGCTGACACAGGACTAGAGGAGCTGGACGGCAGGCAAGTGGAGCCGCTGCAGGCTCTCAGCGGCTGCTCCTGGGGAAGCAGCAGTGCTCAGCTGAGGCCCCCAGGGTAGCTGTCTGCCTCTTCCCTAGGAAGACAGTGCTGCAGCAGAAGGGCCAGAGGCTTCCTAAGCCCTATGCCTAAGACGGAATGGTTCCCAGCACCGTGGACACCAGCCCTCTACCACCTTCTCCCACCATCTCCCTTTAACGTAAGGGTTAGTTTGAGGGCAAGGCAAGAATTCTGTTGAGAAAGATCTTTGGCTGTAAAAATTAATTTTAGACCGTGCCCTTTACATATACCAAAGGTGATGATGAACTTCAAATGTTAAACCACTTGTTTCAGGAATGAATTCTGTGTACTGCAGTAGCTGGTAGGATTACCAAGGCTGGAATATAATTTATAAATACGAACTTGCATAGCAAACCTTTGCTGACACTCATCAGCCTCAAAGCTCCTCTGCTGCCTTTTCGGGTTACGGAAAGTAATTTCCTTCCCCAATCAACAGCCTATCCTGTGAGCAGCTAACGGGCTGTTTTGTGCTACTTCACCTTAGGCTGCCTCCAGAGGCGGGGATTCTGTGGCCACCACTGAATCCTCATCCTATAGGTAGCACTGTGGGCAATGGCTGGGGCCCGGAAGTGCATTGCTCACCTGTAATCCAGGACTGCTGCCTAAAGATTCTAGCCCTTTCTACCATGACAGGTAGAGAGGTCTGACAACTCCTGTCCAACTGGGAACTAGAGCAATGCATTAAGTGACACTAGGTGTTAGACAGGGACACTCCCTAGCAGCAGCCATTCTGGAAACATGGCTCCAACATCTCCCAAAGGCTATACTTGGTCCCTAGAGTGCTGCTGCAGGGAGGGACCTAGTGGAAGTTAGTAGGTCACTAGGGACATGTCCCTGCAGAGGAATGGGACCAGGCCTTCCTTTTTGCTTCCTGGTAACCAGACAAAGGCCTCAGCCCTAACACATGCTTCCACAATTGACTGACAACTCTCTGTAAGCTCATTCCCTCAGGCAGCGCGCTACAGAGATGGAGGTGAGCAACACAGGGACAGGAGCAGGCAGCACAGAGTAGACAGGCTTCCCAAAGTGAGACAGGAGCCAGAGAAAGTGCTAGAGCTCTAGACAGGTAAGTGCAGGGCAGCCTGGGGCTCTTACTAGGTGGAGGTGCCAGGAAACTATGTCTCACAGGGTAAAAGGGTGTCCCTGGCTACCAGGGCCCAGATTCAAACTTAGTGGCGGGGACTTCTGCTCTATAACCACGTTGGCTGACCTGTTATCCTTAGATTGGAGACAGATGCCTAGAAGCGGTCCAGAGCCTGGACCTATTCTCTGCCCGGTCACTACCACACAGCACCCAAGCTCCAGCGGTCATTACTGGAGACCAAGCAGGACTGAGAGACCTTGGCATTTTCCTAGTTGACGTCTATTCCCTGAAGACAGCTAAGAGGAACTGGGGCAGATCCAGCAAAGACAGCAAGAACCCTGGGCTAGTGTTAAGAAAGAACAGGGTCCAGAGAAAAACTCTGTGAGGGTTCCACAGGCACGGACACACTGTGCCCTGGAACCCACATGATCCCAAGAGACAGCACTACTGAAGACCGGGACTGCACCCTTCCATTATCTGTGACTGTTTCACACAGGTGACAGACACCAAGACTTCAGACATGTTTTTCGCTGTGACACACAGTAGCTTACCTGGAACGGGTCCGTTTCCTGCTGACTCCAGGGCTGCCGCTCATCCGGTAGGCTGTAGGGACACTCCTGTCTTCCCGTCGTCTCTCAGGAGAGTGAGCTCTCCTTCTTGGGGACCGAGACCGTGACCTAGACAGACAACAAGGTGGACTTTAGCTCTGTCTGAAGCCTGGTCTGAGTGGTGCACACCTCCCTAGCATGAGGCAAGAGAGGCCCCTGTCTGAGATGCAGGCTGCGCAGATGGGCCCTGCATCCTTACGCCAGCTTGGAGGCAAAGCCCCTCTCCCCACCCCTACCTACACTACAGCAAGGCTCAGTCCCCAGGAGGCTGAGCCTGAGCTTCCCTGCTCCTGCCTCGTGCTCTCTCCCAGCCTGAGGCTTTCAGCTCCCCAAGCCACTCCTACCCTCAGGCAGGGAAAGGCGCCTAGATATTGGCAGTAGGGAGAAACTAAAGGTTGAGAAGCCAAGAACTGCAGGCTGTACCTTGCCATTCTTCCTGTCACTCATCTCAGGCCATATGGCAGGAGGCACCAGGACCATACTGCAGACCCACTGGCATGAAGCCCAAACCCTGCACCTGCTCAACACATGATGCCCTCGTGACAGTCTGACTACTTTATGTCTATGGGAGGTTTTATGGACTAAACACCACCTATGAATACTTACTCTTTTTTGATTCATGCCGGGATATACTCCACAAATGGCAAGAAAGACCCTCAAGTTCCTCGTACCCTTGGTGGGTAATGGAGGTCCTTAATAAAGGGTTCCTCAATGATGGCTTGAGACTTTTACTTTAGTTCTCTGACCATCTGCTAGTTCAGGAAAATCTGCAATAAGCAGAAATTTAGGGGGAAAGCCCTACCAAACTCAAACTTCTCTCTTTGTTTGGCTTTTATGACAACCTACTCAAAAATAATATTAAGAGAGTTTGATTTCAAAATTTGAGAAAGTTCTACATTGAATCATTCTAAGCAGAATGAATTCCTCCCTCCCAATAAAAACAACACACAGTTGTTCAGGAATCAAGTTCTGGTCACATCCTGGTCCCCATGAGCCCATGCTGGCCTCTCCAGCAGGGCTGGTCTAGGTGGTGTCCTCCCCAGAGCTTCCCTAGGCTAAACAGACTACAGAGGTGGGGGCAGTCAGACACCTTGCCGGTTTACCAGGTTTCCCCTCAAAAGAGCTCCAGGAGTCAAAGCTGCTCGAGGCCGAGGCTGCCTGATACCTCTCCTGCTGTGCTGCCGCCACTGCCGAGCTGCTGGGACAAGGCTCCACACTCAAGATCCCTGGGGAGGCTGAGGGCCTGCGGTCGGAGGCACATACTTCACATTCAGAATGAAATGTGCCGGGCTGGGTGCTACCAGAGCCATGAGAAAGCTCCGCTCACTCAAAGCTTTAGCACCTATGGATGCTTAGCATAGAATTCTACAATAAACTCAACAATTAGGAAAAATAAGTTAGTTTTAAATGCCTGCAGATTCAAAACGTTGAAGTACAATACTGTTTTGCAGCGGCCATTAGTATTATGAATTCCTCAGGACACAGTGGCTGTTCCCAGTAGTGTTCAACTCTTCTGGGAAGGAAGCCCTGCTCAGAACAAGGCACCAAATAACAGCTGGTAATTCGGTAGGTTTCACTTTAATTAAGTAAGCCTTAATGCTTTTAATTCTGTTAACCAGGCTCTTAATATTGATGCCAGGACAGGGCAAGAGCCAGGAATTCCAGCCTACGAGTAAATCAGTAGTTTGATGTCACCATAGGCCTTCTTAAAGAAGACAAACTGGTCTCAATTAAAAAACTTCCAGGCATAGTGCAACAAAGACATCCTTTTCTGAATGACCATAATGCTTTGCTCTTGGAAGCAGGAAATTTTTAATGATAAAACTCCAAACTAACTGTCTGAATGCCAGTGTCTGCACCCACACAAACAACTTGCACTGCTCCTCTCCCTGCTCCAGGGCTTCTCACAGCTGTGGGACATCAACAAGTCACTTGGCAGCCAGGCTGTGGATCTAACCCAGTGGGAGCTGGCTACGGGTGTGAAGGTTAACTGCATTGGGCCAAGCTACCCTCTGTTCATCCCATTCCCAGGTTTAGCATTGTGAAGCACAAGTATCTGAGCCTTGCCTGGCTTGGCCACAGGTCAGTCCAACATAAAACTACTGTTATACCCACAGGAACACAGGAAGTTCCAACCATCCCATTTCTTCCTTTAAAAGGCAGGTCTGGGGGATTAAACTTTCTTTTCTAGTTTGTTAGAGTTTACCCTTCGGAAACGGATAATAAACACTCACCCACTAATTTAAAATGAAAATAGAATGTCAATTTTATAGAACCTCAATGCCTCTACAAGTTCTTTGTGGCTTCTTTCTTTTTTCTTTTTCTTTCTTTTTTTGAGACAGGGTTTCCCTGTGTAGTCTTGGCTGTCCTGGAACTCACTCTGCAGACCAGACTGGCCTCAGAGATCTGCCTGCCTCTGCCTTCTAATTGCTAGGAGCAAAGGTGTGTGCCACTACTCCCAGCTTTCTTACCAAATGCTAAATAAAACTAGTAAAGCCAAACAAAGTCGCATGACCTTGCTTGCACCCCTCCCTCATTTGAAGGAATTTATGAAGTTATCCTTAAAGAATGTCTGTATCCAACAGATCCTCTCCAATGGCGGGTTCAACACTCCGAACACTGAGGGAAAGTGACTTCGGAAGTTAACAGGTAAGCACACCTTCACGCTTTCCTGGTACAGGTCAGTTCAGTAACACCCACACCACCACGCAGGATTTACCTGCGTGCCTGCTGCTTCTCCTCAGTAAGACTGAAAGCTGTACAGCACAAGAGCGAGCAGGAGCCACACCATGGGCAAGATCTACCCTTGCATCAGTGCTGACTCAAATCCTCATAACCACCATGCGTTCTGAGGTACTGAGCGTTCGTTATTATAAAGAAGTTGCCTTTGCAGATCCAAAGCCACCTACAGTTTGACATATGGAGTAAGCAAGCTTCTGTCCTATGAGCAGGTCACACAGTAGACAAAAATCATACTGTCCTGCATTTTATGTGGGACCAGAGCCACTTAATATAGAGAAGATTATGCATTTTGGTTGCAGTATGCTACCACAGGAGGATGCCAACAACTGCAGCATTTTACTTTGAGCTAGCAATCATTTAAAAATGACCACTTAGTCTGTGTCACGCCTGAAAAACACGTCTGGTAAAGATGTCCTACTGTAGGTGTTACCATGGTAATGGGCTCCTCTACCTGAAAGGAGAGTTAAAGACAAGACAGGACAGTAGCAGCAGCCCTCCCTTCACCATGGTCAGAATGTCAACAGCTAATGGTAGTATGAAGCCCGCTCTCCTGTCTCAGTCACAACTGCAACATTGTATTTGGTGTTTTCCCGTCTTAGTATGTACAGCAGGTTGGCCCTAGACATGCTCCCACCTCAGTCTGAGTGCGGAGATCATAGGCATAGCTACTGCGCCTGCCACAACCACGGCTTTCCAGCTGCTTCCATCCTGGGAATGAGAGTGCTGTCAGGGTCTGTGGTGGGCAAGCAGCTCTGGTTTCAGCTCGGGAAAATATGGCCCTTTCCCACAGCATGAGCCTCTATTTTAGCCTCTTGCAAGAAGGACAAGAGGATAAAGGCTGAGGCCCGCCATGCAGCCGAGGACAGTGTGGTGTGGACAGACAGCAGCTAAAAGGAGGTCACAGTGAAAATACTATTACTCTGCAGCAAGCCTGTGCCTTGTCTTGGTATTCTATCTAAACTATAAAACCAAACACTATAGATGGACTTATCTCCTGCCGTAAAGTACCTGGGCTGCTTAACCAGATAAACCAAAAGGTTCTTTTTTGATCCCACCTCAGCCACTGAAACGAAGTTTGGGGACTTTGAGAATAACCTGCCCCTGACACTGTAAAACATTTTCGCCTAAGGTCAAATTAAGATAAGACTGGTGGCCTAATGTCAGAGAAGAAATAATGGTCAGAAAAATTTTGGCTTCATTTTGTCTTTTAACTGAGAATTAAACTAAGGAGTAGGGGTTTGCTCCTTGGACCTGTAGACACTCAAGATGTCCAGACACTGGTAAATAATGCACCTGTATAAAATATGCACATCAAGTCTACCGCAGACTCAGGCTGGACGGGCGGAGCACAGGTAAGGAGTTTGTGCCACACTGAGATGAGCATGGGTAGGTGCGGCGAGCCAGGTCTGGGAGCCCTCTGTTGGCTCAAGGCCTGTGAGTCACGAGGGAATTGTTCTTCCCTTTGAGCCTTTGGAGATCAGGGAGAGCTGACTGGACAGAATGAGGTCGATGGACCTATGAGGTTTGGATCTCTAACACATGTTCTAGGAGTGTTAAAAAATAAACATATAAAAAAATAAAGGACACCAAAACTGTTCATTTAATTAAGAAATAGCAAGGTGTGTGTATAGTAACGGTTCAAAAGTGTTGCATTTTTAAGAACTAGAGCCGGAAAAAAAAAAAAAAAAAAAAAAAACTAGAGCCGAAGGCTCTCTGTGAAGACAAACATACCCCAAATGAAAACAGGAGGTCAGACACTTGTCAACCCTGGGCTGGGTGTGGGTAAAGGAGGAAGCACACCACTTTTAGCACATCAGAGAGAACACTGTGCACTGTGCACCCAAGGCATAGGACACCAGTGTCTGTGAATACTGCTGACACCACCCCAGAAGAAGGCTGAGTATCAGGAGTTAGTGAATGCTGGGTGTGTGAGCTCATCTGATCAGAGTGCAGGACACCGTGGAGATCCAGGGCAGGGTGAGAACTGAAGGCTGGACAGGAGCTCTCCATCACACTGCCGGATGCTGAGCTTCACTTCTAAGCCTTCCAAGCGAAGGGGATGCTCTGGCATCCTTTAAGAACAAGTTTACTAACGCTGTTGCCAGCAATGCTGAGCTGCTTGCTGGACCCCTGGCACCTTACGCACTGGGCTTGTTGGTAGACTGTTAGAGAGGCAGCAGGCTGAGGAGAGGAAACAGATGTACACTGGTGCCTCATTTACATTCACTTCAGACACTGTGCGGAACAACTGAGCACAACCTGAGGGGAGGGCTGCTGCACCACTTCAGTCAGAAGCACTCAGCACAGGAAGTTCACTCACACAAAAAACTCCAGCATGCCAGCCTATGAATTTCTACAACTCAACACAAGTGCCAGGTTCACCTCATAATGTGTACAACACTGACTCCCCACTCCTTAGGAGGCAGTCTCCTGTTCTCAAATCTACTATATGGTTGAAGAGCTCTTGAACACCTTGATCCTCCTGCCTCCATTGTCCAGGCACTAGGATCACAGGCGAGTGTCGCCATGCTCACCTACAATTTCCTTTTTTGCAAATTTTGGTGGGAGGGAGAGGCTAACTCTTTCTCTATGTGACTGTGTGTGTGAGTGTGCCTGTGTGTAAGCCAGAGGGCAACCCTTGGGCTCTTCCTCAGCAGCCACTCAGTGTGGGGTTTTTGCCTGTGTTCTGATGTTAGAGGCTGGTCTCACTATGTAGCCCCAGTTAGTCTACAACTTGCTCTATAGACCAGGTTGGCCTTGAACTCAGAGATCCCCCTGCCTCTGCCTCCTGAGTGCTAGTAAAGGTTTATGCCCCACACCCAGCCCATTTACCGTACTCTATGAGACAAGCTTCCTCACTGGCCTGACTTTCTCTCAGTAGCCTAGGCTAGCTAGACAACGAGCCCCGGCTGTACCCACTTCCCCTATGCTAGAGTTAGAGGCAGGCACCACCAGGCCCAGCTTCCTCACTCAAGTCCGCACGCTCTGCATCAGGGGGTACTGACTGAGCTACAACCCTGCTGCTGTAGCTTAGCCTGGCCTTCAACTGGAGACCCTCTTGCTTCCACCTCGAGTGAAGAGGGAAGCATACGTAAGGTATGCAGAGATAAGCAGCACACACGAGTCATTAACCGGCAGTGACCGCTGAGCTCTGACAAGCCTTGACAAGGTTTGCTGAAAGATCTCCTTTGGATTTGCAGGACACACACACGCCCTCACTCACACTCCAGCCTGTGCTCATTTTAAACTTTGCTGGCTTTACAGGGTGCCAGGAGGAGGCTCAGAGTGTAGGGCAGACAGGAGCAAGAGCGCATGAGTGCTGGCACACCCACCTCGACCGCCGCACTGTCCGGTAGGCACTGGGCAGGGCGTGCTTTGCTTTTGAGTGGGATCTAGACCTGGGCTTGGAGGACGAGTGGTACTTGGGGGAGCGGGACCTCGTCCGAGACCGTTTTTTGTGCTTCTTCTTCTTTTTCTCTCTTTCTTCTTCTCTTGGTGGGTCTCTGCATCTGCTTGAAGGCCTTTCTGGAAGCTTTCCCTCCAACAGGGGCAGAGTTCTACCGCCAACCAGCAAAGGACAGGGCATGACACCAGTTTCCTGGAAACAGAAAAGTGAATGTGTAGGTGTCAACAGAGAACACACCACCCCGGGTAGATACTTATTGTCTCTGAGGAAAGACCACCTTTCAGTGGTTATATATAAGAATCCCCTTGCTGTGTGAGCTGGATCACACCTATGACTGAAGCATGTGGGAGGCAGAGATAAGAAAACAGCTTTGAGTTTGAGGCCTGCTTGGACTACAAAGTTAATTCTAGACTGGCCTAAGTTACAGTGAGTTTGTCGCAAAAGACAAAATCTCTCTGGCCTTTCAGGAGAAATGTAGTTTTAACTAGTCATTGAATACATGGAAGAGTTCTCATTCCGTGCCTGGAAGATTTAACAGTAGGGTTTATGGAAAACTTCAAGGTAGATGCTGTGTGACCAGCTCCCCAACCCCATCCCCCACTGCCCCAGCTGTCTGGAGCCCTGGGATGGAATGAGGACAGAAGTGGTGTCCACATGCATTTGTAAATCTGCAACTGTGGGTAGGAGGGCCTGGTCTTGCTACTTTGCTTGGGCCCACTCTGGAGGCAGCTGGTGAGTAGCCCTGCACATGACTCTTACAGAACTGCTAGCTCACAGTGAAAAGCTGCCCAGTGGGCTGAGCTGAGGCCACATGGCTACCTGTAGTTGTCAGACAGGAAGGAGGTCTCTCAGCCTTTCCCTGAGCTCCCTGCAGCTTAGGCCACTATGCTTAACTACTGACAGGCTTGTCATCACTGATGCAGTATTCTTAGCTACTGTACAGACTGCTTAGAGTTAGTGTGTTATTAACCTTGCTTTCTTCTTTTAGATAGGGTCACACCTGTGTAGCCCTGGCTGGCCTGGAACTCACAGAGATCTGCCTGAGTGCTGGGATTAAAGGTGTGGGCCACCATATCCATCCAGTAATATTTTTCTATGTCAATGAGCATGCTTTAAGACATCACTTAGAATCATACCTGGATATGTAAAATCATCTCTAAGGATCAATGGCACTGGGCAGACCAGCAAGTACAAAAGGACCATGTTACATGTGCATGGTGGAATGCTGCCCTGTGGGCACCTGCCCATCCCGAGGAGCTTGCTGAGCTAGTTTCAGCCCTGACAGATCTAGTAGTGTCACCTGTGACCTTCTCTAATATCCTTTTGGAGCCTGTAAGAACTCCTGTCTACACCTATGTGGCAAATTGGGTGAATGTGCCAACATCTGTAGGCCAAGTACATATATCAAGGTACTTGGCAAAGTCAAGGGCAGCATATTCCACCAAGTTCCTTGAGATTAGTACCACTTTGGGTTTGACTATCATCTATAGAGTATTTACTATGAGCCCTTTTGTTTCAAAGCAGTGAGACACTTATCACCAACTGCTCTCCTCATGCACCCTTTCTGTTGAAGCAGTCCTGCTGAGATAATCTTCGCGTGCACACGCAACCAGGGAGACCATTCCAGAGTCAAACACCCATGGATTACAGACAGGGCCAAGGCTGGCAGACAAGAATGGAGCCACTCTGAGAGAAGACACAAGCTGGGTCAGCACTGTGGTGCTGCCAGCAGGCTGATGAGAAACGACTGACAGACCGAGTTCCCATTGAAACAGCCAGATTCTGAGAACACACAGTGAGCCTTGCAGCCATGACTTGTTCTTATCTGCAGATGTGGCTTTACACATTTTAAAAAAAATAACCCTTCTTTATTTATTGTACATTATCTGTCTCCTTGTGTGTGCATGTGTGTGGAGGTCAGAGGACAACGTACCTTGTCATCTTTCTCTTCCCACCATCAAACTCCTGCTGATTAGTCTTGGCAGCAAGCAGCTCTATCTACCGAGTCTCCTCACACTGTCCTGTCTAACACTCACTCCAACTCTGAGACAAGGCCTCATGTAGTGCAGGCTGACTCTCAACTTGTCATAAGCAAGGATGACCCAGCCCTTCTGAACCTTCTGCCTCTAGCTCCGTGCTGCTGGGATTACAGCATGCTAAGACCCTGTCCACGCCAGGCAAGCACACTATCTGCTGAGCTACATTCCAGGCTTACAGATGTCTTAACCTCTGTTCACTGTACAAAGGATCATGAAAGAACAAGAGATTCAATCAGGCCTCAACCCCAACCACCCCACCCCCCCCCCCCAGTCAGGCCCTTGTAAGCTTCACTGTCTCCTCGATACCAATGTCTCTCCATAGCTGCAGAGCCCATGCTCCTGCATGCCCCACACCACAGCGCCCCCCTCACGAGTGCCTTCATGCAGGGCCACAGTGCATAATGGCTGCCCCCAGCTGTGTGGACTTTGTTCCTCCATTTCTGCAGGAATAGGCTTTGTCTGAGGGACCAGAAGAGTCCATCTTTGTGGGGCTCTGGGAAATGGGGTCATAGTGCCCTAGTGGGGTCCTGCAACCTCTTTGAAAAGCTCATTCTGGGAAGGGCAGTGCTGAGGTTACCCCAAGAACAGAAGCACTACAAAGATGCTAGGCGGACATTGAATCAGCAGGTCTGGACACCCAGGAGGTGGGGACTTTAACCACAGGGACACTGCTGACTCCAAAGGTCCTTACAAGTATCAGTGTAATTACAGTTAAAAAGGGTGGAGGAGCCAGGTGTGGTGGCACATGCCTGCAACCCTGGATTGTGAGTTCTAGCCTCTTTTGTCTTTCCAACAAGAGCAAACCAGAGCAAAGGGCTTGCTCTGCATTATGAAGGAAAGTCAAGTGAGGCAGTCTGAATGAAAATGGCCCCCACAGGGTCAGCCAGAGCGACACTCTTGGGAGGTATGGCCTTGGAGGAAGTCTCACTGGGGGTGGCCTCAGAACTCTCAGGTCCTCTCCAGCAGCATGTCTGCCTGAGTGCTGCAACGCTTCCTGTCATGATGATAACAGACTAAATCTCTGAACTGTATGCCAGCCTCAATTAAATGCTGTTCTTTATAGGAGTTGTGGTCATGGTGTCTTTTCAAAGCAATAAAACCCCAACTAAGACACCAAGCATAAAGGATATTTAAAGACACCTGGAGACAGACAGGCACGACCAGAATTTTCACTGAACTATACACAGCTACCGCCAACAGTGTTGACTGAGGGTTCCAGGAGCATCCTAAGGTACTTAGGAGGAAGCTGTCTGGGTTCTCCATGATCTCGGTGTTGACGATAATCTCGAGGCCTTCCACGCACTAGTGCTCTACCTCAGAGCTACACCCAGACAAGACATGGGTGGCTGCTGTTTACCTTTTAGAAAAAAATTACAGCACAATACAGGATAAAGGTGCTGGCTTTGAGATCTCTGCTCCCTCCCAGTGTAAGCTCCACATTGTAATGTGGCTGCGACCACTGAGGCCCTGCTCTGGCCATAAACTGGGCTTCCTGCTCAGGATCCACACCTATGTGTTCTGAGATTGCAGCTTGAGTCTGGTCTGTTTATAGGGTAACTGGCACAGGGTCTCCTCAGACTCAAGACTATGAGCAAGATCTGTGACTATGCTGGAGGCAGGTGCTAGGCTGTTGGCATGTGGCTCAGGCTGGGGCTCCAAAGCCAGGGGTGAGTTTGGACCAACTAATCAACTACAAACCCAAGCATGCCGTCGGACATCCTACGTACCTCAACTCCAAACGTATTCTCCTCAAGTTTTCCAACTTCCGCTTCTGGAAGAGGATTTTTTAAGGTTTGTAAAAACAAAGCTGCTTTCCTTTTACGTTCAGCCTGAAGCTGCTTCTCCTTTGATTCCTTGGATGCCTGGGCTAGCTTTTCCCGAGCAGCAGCAGCAAGACGGTCCTCCAGCTTTTGTTTTGCTAAATAAAACAAGAAAGGCAGAGTCTACAGCAAGCAGCATTTCATTTCTGATTTTCATAGGCACCTTCCGGCTATACAACACTGCCATTTCAATACTAACCTCAAAGCAGGTAGAAACCTGGGCAGACTAACATTATCAGAAAAATAAACTTATTGTGGCTTTTTGGGGGAGGTACACTTTATTTTCAAAGGCAGCGAGGTTGAAGGAGTTCCATGATGGCAGGAGCTGGGCTTCACAACAGAAATCACAGAATGGCTCTCAAGCATAGGAGCCCAACACACTCCAAGTCGGCATGTAATGATGCCCTGTGGCAAGTGTCTGAGGGCATGACAAACTGCTGAGCTCACACACAGGGAGAGCAGGCGCAAACACACCAGTGTGACTGGAAGTGTTCTGAGACAGAGCACCTGTGGGCCCACGGCATGCTCTTCTCTGGAGGACACTGGTTCCAAGCATCTCCTTTAGTCAGGTCTGTATGGTCTGTTCATGCATACCCAGAAACACATTCCAAGAAAAGCAGTAAGAACAGGTAAAAGCACAAATGCACTCACTGAGTAGCCACTTCACTGTGGAAGACGACTATTTTGGAGGGCAGATGTCCCCAAAAGGCTAGGCAAGCATTGCAGCAGTTCCAGCCCCAGCCCGTATGTGACTGGCCATGCTGTGACCCATGAAGATGAACCAGGGCTAAGAAATCAGCTCTGGCAGGCATCATCTTCAAGGGCTGATGGTTCTGCTGAAAGACAAGTCTCACAAAAGGCCGCTCCCAGTATGGTGCATTAACCAGAGCTGGGCGTCCAGGCCTGGTGTCTCACCCCGGGGCTGTCGTCCAAGTACAAAGTGTGTCTCCATTAGAGCCGACCGCTTAGCGCATTAGGCTGCTCTGAGTACAGATTGCCAAGGGCACTGCATCAAGCTAAGGAGTGCACAGTGCCATGGCAGTGCACACAGGACTTTCAGAATGCTCCTGCATGGCTCCAGGCTTTAGTTTGCAGTCTTAGAATTTCTGGCTTAGCACATAAATCTTATATTTGTCTTCTTTCTTTCAAGAACTTTAAAAGCTATCGACAAACCTTGCTTAGCTTCTAGCTCCTCCTGGGTAAGCTGAGGTTTCTTCTCCTCCACAACTGCAGAGGGTGGGGCCGAGGCTGGGCTGGGGTTGGCCACGCTGCTGGTGCTTTCCTGGCATTCCCTGTTTTCCTCATCTTCTTCACTATCATCGTCCAGCTTGACGCGGTTTTTTTCCAGGGGAAGTAGGTCATTTTCTTTGGCTTTGATGGCAAAGCTTATTGGAGCAAAAGAAGCTGTTGGGAAAAGGTGACAATTGTGACGTATTTTTAGGCACCAGAGGCAGAATGCGCAGACACTGTCACAGGCACTACCACTTGCAAGAGGGATAGCTGACAGGCAGATGGCATCTGCTGTGAAGGCACAGCATGATGTGAGTGTTCATGTGCGTGTGTGTATGTGGTCTACAGGTGGGAATGTAGTCAAAGGAGTATTGTTTAAATGTCTGAGGCAAGACATCAGACTGGGTGTGCTGTCTGAAGCCTGCTACCATGGGCAACGTAACAATACTGCCATAGCCACCTTCAGTTTTAAATGGTCAACTTTTGTCATTTTCCTTTTAAAAACATTATTTATTTAGTGTGTACATTTAAGAGCGAAAAGACTTACACGAAATGTTAATGGACTCACTTATGAGTTGATACGAAAATACAAGATGATATAAGAACACATACTGTTTCCAGAAAAAGGAACAGCTCTGCAGATCATGACAGTAAAGTCCTAGAGCACTTGTCCACACTTAGTCTGGAGAGGCATTCACAGCCAGACACAGAGCCAAAGCACCACTGTCCCCAGCACCTGCCCAGGAACCTAACTAAAGAGCCACCTAACCTGTGTGTCTAGATGCCCTGCCTCACTCAGTGCTGAGGAGACTATCAGGTGCTCCACGCCCCATAGCACTGCAAGAACCAAGAGGCCAAGGTTAGGAAGCTTCTCCAGCTCAGTCAGCATGCCCAACGGCCTTGGGAATTCTCCTGGGGGGATTCTGATTACACAATTTGTATACCACAGCTTGCATCATTACTGATCCTTAGCTCTTTCTCCAGGTGGCCAGGACCTTGTGTGATCCAGCTACCCCTGCCCTTCTGCACTGTACAGAAGGCCTGCACTGAGATGGCCATGCTTGCCTGCTGCCTGCAGGATCCGTTCCTTCTGGCACATCTGATCTTCAGGACTGGGTCCAGGAGTGCCTCCCTAAAGCACACCCACAGCCTTACAGCCGCCTTCACTACCTCTGCATACAGCTGCATGTATGTATTTGGAGATGAGGTCTTAGCCATATTGCCCAGCTTGGTCTTAAACTTCCGAGCTCAAAGAACGCCCCTGCCTTAACCTCCTGACGAGGTGAGAATGCAGGGGAATGCATTTCCCAAAACCCTGGATGAGTGATATTAACAGTGTTTATTAGTTACTGTATATTGTTCTGGTGTGTTGTTGTGTAAGTGGAGACCTGAGGTTGGTGTCTTCCTCTGTATTCTTGATCTTATCTGAAGCTGGTATTTACCAGTAGGTATCCTGGACAGCCAGTGGTTTCAGGGAAAACTGTTTCTGTTCCCCTGCGCCCCAAACACCAGGGCTCCAGCCCCTCCTGGCTTAGTAGTAGGTGCTAGGGACAGGAACTCAGACCCTCACCCTTGCCAGTAAGCACTTTACACACAGAACCATCTCCTCAGCCCCGACACTAACTAAAAACACAAACACAACAACAACAGACCACCTGGTTTTGCAATTTTGTTTTAGATTTCTTTATTCTACGTGCATAAGTGTTTTACCTGCATATATGTACGTGTACCATGTGAACACCTTATGTTCTTGGGAGTCAGATGAGGGTGCTAGATCCCCTACGTCTGCAGTTACGGATGCTGTGAACTACTACGTGGGTTCTGGCAAATGAACCCAGGTCCTCTGCAAGTGTAAGAAGTGCTCTTACCTCTGGAGCTGTCTCTCTTCAGCCCCAACTACCAATTTGAGAAGAAAAACCAGTGTCTTGTGTAAACAAACCCGTCACACTAGCTATGTAGTTTTCTCTTCTGAAGAATGCCCTCGGTCCATTTTCTGACCTAGAAAAGCTCTTTCTATAGGAAGGACATTAACCCTTTATCTTCCAACTTATTGTCACTTGGACATTTGCTTTTAACTTTATTCTGGCTCTGCTTTCCTAGAACTATAAGCTGCTGATTTCTGTCTGGCTTCAATTCTCTGATCCTAAGATTATGTATGCTAACAATTCCTTTTCTTCCTGCTCCCCTCTCTCCCTTTCTCTGCAGGGTCTGTCTCACGGAGGTTCATGAGGCTGTGGCCCTGAGCTTCTGAGCCTCGAGTGCCGGGACCAGGAGCATGCACTGCCCACACTGACTGCACTCGACACCGAACTTCTGGAATCACTGCTGCTAGATACCTTAGTGTTATTAAATCTTTAAAAGTGAAGGGGCTGTCGAGATGGCTCATTGGCGGGGCACTTGCTGCAAGCTTGGACAACCGGAGTTTGATCCCTTGGACACACATGGTAGAGGAAATTGCAATTATCAATACAATACAGAAGTCCCAAAAGCACCAGTGCTTTCTCAGTGCCCAGGAAGGAGTGACCACACCAGAGCCCTGAACAGGTCTCACTGCCCATGTCCCATCCCTGCGTTAGCACATCACCAGATTCCACCCAATACTCTAACATCATGCTTCTCAGTGCTGAGGCCTACAGAACTCCACAGAGCTTGAGAGCTTCTTAACTCCCTATCTCCCACACGCTCGGAAGGAGCTTTCCTCACAGAAATGGTCTGGTTCTCCAGGGTGAATTAAGCCAGACTTTAACTTGTTTTGGCCTCTTGCCTGGTTCTAGCGGCTGCTAACCAACCAGTATTTCAAAAAATCTGCCAGACTAAAAATCTGTCAGGTTTTCTTTCTCTTCTTTTCTTGAAATAATTTTGGCAATTTATGTTTTCTTCGAAATGGTATTTTTCCATGACTTGAGTTCTTTTCCATTTAAGGTGATGAGCATGCTTTGTGTATTTTAAAAAAGATTTACAACTTTGCGTTCATATTTGCATTCTTTTTCTCTTGAACACACACAACATATTTTACTGTTTTTTAAAAATTACTTTCTCAGTAATTTTTCCTTTAATTTTTAGTTCCTTGTTTCTGCTTTCTGTATGAACGTTTTATAGACTTTTGAGGGGTTATATCAGCAAGCTTGTAAGGGTTGGGTTCTCGGCCTGTGCCCACTGGCTGGGCTTCCATCCCAAGTTCTGTTCTTTTCCATTCTGCCTCCCATGCCCCTCTTGCCTTCGTGACAAGGACTGAACATACTCAAGCCACATTGTGCTGAACCCAACTCACTTCCCTAGGTTCTTCCCTTCAAATGTTCACTTAATTTTTTTCTGTCTTTCTTTTTTTTGGTTCACCCAACATAAAGAGGTAACACTATTATCTGCTTTGAAGTAGTATCTTACTGAAGCTTTTGCCCACAGCAGTACAGTGGACAGAACCCAGGGACAAGCTCTGTGACGTTCTTGATATCCTTGTTCTCATGGACTCAGGACTTCAGGGTGCTGACATGCCTGCAGTCTTCTGTCCTTACATTCAGATGTGCAGAGAAATGAGGCACTGACTTGCTTTCTCTCCTCTTCAGGAGCTGTTTCTACCTGTATGAACTTCTTCCACATCTGTCCCTTCCTTTGAGACTTCTGAGAACTTCCCAGTATGTCTTCTAGTCATTCTGACCCTGGTGATTTCATTGTGCTTAACCTAGCAGCATTTCTGAGCCGTGTTCTGGAGTTGTCAGCTTTTCAGTGGCTAAGTTTTATGATAGTCTCAACCTATGGATCTGTCCTGATACTCAGGGCTGGAGGCTCAGCCCCTGTCCTCTGAATCTCAGCAGGGCTGTGCTCCTGTGTCCTGCACCGCAGAGGAGCAGGCCTATCTCTCCAGGCCTCACTGCAGAAGGAGTGTTGTCAAACACTGTGCAGCTTGTACTCACATGTCAGGCTTCTCCTGACAGGGAGAGCATGCTGGTTCAGCAGCTGGGCCTGGGGCTCCTTTCTCTGCGGCTCCGCAGGTACCCCAGGCAAGACCAGTCTGGAGGGTGGCTCCTAGATAACAGCCACCTCCTGGATGTCCCCTAGCTAGTGCCAGCCTTCCACCTTCTCCTTGCTGGCAGTGGCTGTCCTGTGGAATCACTTGTCCATTCTTCTCTTCCAGTCCCAGGTGGATGGCCTGTCCTCCCAGCATGGGACAGCATCTTGAACGGCTTCTGGTACAGAAACTACTGCTAGTCAGTCACCTGACTTTCTAAACAGTGCTTTCCTAGTGACAGCCAGATGATTGTGACTCTGACTTCACTTGGAGGCCACTCCAGGCCAGGCAGGAGATCGCTGTCTGTCTCCCTTGCCATTCTTCTGGCCAGGCTTGTCTTCTACTGCTGCCGCTCCTGTACTAGCCACTGCTCCCCAAAGGCTCTTGTTCCTCTGTTTAATCTCAAAAAGCCAACACTAGGTAGGTAAAGCATCCATTAGTAACCACAGGCCCCAGGGGAAGCCAAGTCCCACATGCTGTGTAGTCCACCTCTCCAGACTGGATGACTAGAGCCACCAGTCCTCAAAGCACAGCAGGGTCTCATTTATCTCTGGACACCCTTTTCTGTGGTCTCTTCTCGTTCTACCACAGGGCTCTGCTAAACAGCCCGAAGCAGCCTTTCTCCTCCGTCTTCCATTGAACCAGCCACTTATACACATCTGTCCTGCTAGACTACATCTAGTCAGTGATAGGGCAAGGAGACCAAGTGTGAGCGAGTGCAGCACTGCCTGACAAGGGTGCCCCAGGGAGCCACTTGGACAAAGAAAACAAACCTCATCACAACTGTTTGGGCTGGAGCTGGAAGCTCTTGCCCAGGATCACAACTGAACACAGTTTTAGAGGGAAGATGAAACATTTGAAAATTTATAGACACATCCACTAAATGATGTAAGTTAAAAGCTGACGGGTCCCCAGACTAGCTTGTACCTTCTGGGTTCCAAACACCATGTTGGAGAAGCAGGACAAGGTGAGCATGTCTGAATATAACAGCTCTAGAAGGCAAGCCCAACAAGCCCCCATGGTTTGAGGTACCTAGTCCTGTCCCTCAGGAGGGAAGCCATGAGGCCTGGGCTTCACCAGGACAGCGCACCTTTTACCAGCTTCCCGTCCACGGTGCTCTTGCTGGACCCAGCCTCCTTCTTCCCGCTGCCTCTTCCCCCAGTCTCTGCCATACCCTCAGGAGCGCAGTCCTCTCCAGCTTCACTCGATTCTTCAACAGCGGTTTCTGTGGGAGCCTCTTCAGCTGTTGTTGCTGCCTGAAGAGAGAGATATCACTGAGTACCGTTACATGTTAACATGTAACATGAGGCCGGGCATTGGTGGCACATGCCTTTAATCCCAGCACTTGGGAGGCAGAGGCAGGCAGATTTCTGAGTTCGAGGCTAGCCTAGTCTACAGAGTGAGTTCCAGGACAGCCAGGGTTACACAGAGAAACTCTGTCTCAAAAAAACAAAAACAAAAACAAAAAAACAAAAAAAACCCCATGTAACATAAGCACATGTTACATGTGAGTGTATTCTGCAGTACACACATGTAATCCCAGCACTCATGAAAAAAGGGCAAGAAGGTCAGAAGTTCAAGGGCATCCTTGGCCAAACTCAAAGAGGTTGAGGTCGATGCTACATGAATCTCTAAAAAACCATCAAAACACTCAATTTCCCAAGCCACCTGCAATGACTGCATTTCCTTCCACATTTCACATCATTCTCTTGGGGGAGTGTGTGTGTGTGTGTGTGTGTGTGTGTCTGTGTGCGCGCACGTGTATGTGTGTAATGGGAAGTGGACCCAGGGCCTCTGGTATGCTAGGTAAGTGTTCTGCCCCTGAGCTGCATCCCTAGTCCCACTGCATTCTTTTAGTATGACAGACTACACAGTTGAAGGAGTACCTTTCTTTAGAAGCCTGGTCACTAAGGACAACTTCAAGTCACAGTCTCCCAAAGACCACAGAAGAACATGCTATTTCAGGCCCAGCAAGTATTTCTGGCAGAATAAGCTCAAGAGTGTCAGGACAGGGCAAAGTACCCCGAGTGTAAGGGACTGTGTGCGGTGGCAGCCGGTCCAGCTCTATCCCTGGAGGACAGTCAACAGCTCCAGCATATACACCATGAGGTGCATTACAGAGCAGTCTAAAGCAAACTGGGTGCAGCGGCACACCCGCAAGCCCAGCACTTTGAAGGCAGAGGCAGGAGGATCAGTAACTGAAGGCTAGCCTGGGCTACATGAGACCATGTCTCAACTCTCCTTCTCAGTATTGTCAAAGTAGTCTCTGATGCTTGAAGCAACAGTGGTTTTTGTTTGGAACACGCTTGACTGCACAAATGATCACCGAGGCATAAGTGGGTGGGCACTTCAACAGATCCAAGACAGTTTCACCTCCTGAAGGGATAGGTCAGACACAGTGTAGACCTCGGAGTCAAGAGGAAGTCCCTTCTGCACCTGTCATCAGCGCTCCATGCCTCCCCTACCTTCAGCACATACCTGTGTGCTACCGCCCCCTTCCTTCTGCAGGAAGAACTGCTTCTTAAACTCATAGTAGGCGTTGTACTGGTGCCAGGGCTGCAGGAATTCAAACCTGTGAACAGGGAAGGATCTGGTGATTCAACATGGCCCACTGCAGCCCTCAGCGTTTCCACATGTGGCCTGTACTGTCCTGGACAACTCATAAACACTAGTCAGAACAACTTCATAGATTCTCCATGGCTTCAGTCCTGCTCTATTCACTGACATGTGAATTGGGCAGAGGGCTAACCCACCTTCCAGGGTCATACCATGGGAGAAGATGCAGTCAATGTTTTATGCATACTGCCAGGCATAAGGGATAAGGACCCTTGAGAAGTGTGAATGCCAGCATTTCAAACACCTACATTATCACCACTCAATAAAGAAGACAACAACAAAAGCCCTCTCCAACTCTAGGTAATTTAATAAGATGAACAAAAATATGCCTATCTAAAGATAGTTTAGGGAAGATGAAAGCACAAAAGAATTCTGACAGGGTTAGAGAATGCTAAATGAAAAAACCCCAATCTCATATACCTGGCACACTTCTAAGTTTTTGACTTTTTTGCAACATGGGGCTTGATCCCAGAAACTCATAAATGCCAAGCAAACATTGCCACTGAAATTCACAAATGCCAGGCAAACACCCCAGCCCAACACTCAAACCCTTTCACTTTACCTTTGATCGTTCTTGGCTCGAACACTGGTCTCAAATTTAAGGCCATTTCTAGCGACGTACTCTGCCAGCTTGTCAATCACAGGCTGGATGTCAGGGGGCGGGGGTATGATGGCCACGGGAGCAAGCGCACTGTGGAGAAGAGCCGGTGAGCAACCTGAACTCAGCATGGCCCAAGCCCGGCATTGGCAGCTGGAGGGGCCTTTTGGGCTCAACCATGTAAGAGCAAGACTCTTGGTCTAAAGACAAGAAGCCCCTTAACCTAATGAAGCCAGCTCCTATATCCCAGAGCACCACTGCTGGAGTGAGCTTACAAGAGTGGCATCTTGTAAGCCCAATAGGCAAGACTCTATCTTAAACAAAACAAACAAACAAACAAAAAAAAAAAAACCAGGACAGTGGGGATTAAAGAATGAGGTCCAAAATCCCAGAGCTGGATTCAAGTCTTCCTCCTAATTAGCATCCGCCTTTAACTATGAGCTACTTCTTAGGAACAAAACAAGGAAAAGTCATTAAAACAGGCAAGAATGTGGCTCAACATCCTTCGCTGTGTTTACTTTCTCAGCAATGGCCCTGGAAATCATCCCCCAACCCCTCCCACATGCTAGGCCACTGATCTACTTCTGAGTGACACCCCCAGCCCACATTTGACTTCTTAGAATGATTAGAAAGAAGGGTTTTATAGTCAAGTATTTCAGCAGCCTTTATGAGTACACACACACACACTCTCTCCCCCACTCCTGTCCTTCTGTTATTGCTGGTTCTACACTAGCTGCTGTACGACTGTTCGACGCAAGCTCTTGGAGCCCTCCCCTCATCCATCAGTATGAGACCCTTTGAGTTCTGACAAGTTTAGTCCACCTCACTTGAACTCCACCTAACACCGCCCAGCTGAGGCTTCAAACATGACAAGAACAGCCCAGAATTAAGGAGCAGATATGGGATAGGGCCTGAGAGCCACATTTACATCTGGTTAGATTTCACCGCTTAAGAATCATTTTTGGTACTGAAATGGGGCTTGCTCTGTAGTCCAATATACAGATGACCCCGAACTCTTGATCCTCCTGCTTATGCCTCCCCAGTGCTAAAAATACAAGAACAGAACAACTACATGTATTATTTATTATCTAGCTGGCTTGGAACTTTTTCTTCTTTTGAGACAGGCATTCACTGTGTACCTCTGACTGGCTTACTCTACAGATCAGGATGGCCTTGACCTCAGAGAATGCCTGACCCGGCCTGGCTGAGTGGCATTAAACTTTCAATCCTTCTGTTTCAGCTTTCCAAAAGCTGCAAGTACAGGTGCACGGTATAATACTAATAAATGAATGATAACCATGCTAATTATGGAGACGTAGGTATGCAATCCAGACCAAGAACACTGGTCACTGTGGCAGCCATCATACTGAGCAGGTGGCACATATACCTTGTGGTGGTGGTTGTGGAGGTAACCCCGCTACTTGATTCAGCTGTGGTTGGGGGTGGAGGAGGTGTGGTCCCAGGAGGCGGTGGTACAGTGGTAGTCACACCAGGTGAGCTGGACACAGTCACTCCAGCAGGAAGGGTACTGTAGTAAGTGGCCACATCGATCCCAGGTGGGGGTGGTGCCAGGCAGTAGGTGCCATCTGGCAGCATGTAGTAGCTGTAGTACATGGCTGCCACTGTTGCTGTAAGAAACAGGGTTTGTAAGCAAGAGGCCAATGGCAGGTGAGCCAGCTACAACATTTTGAGCCTCAAAGGCTCATGTTTTAGATACTTGCTCCCCAACTTACGGTGTCATTTGGGGAGGTTTTGGGGCCTCTAGGAGGTGGGGCCTGGCTAGCTCTCTACTTCCTGTCCTATCACAATATGAACAGCCACTGGCTCTCCCATTCCACCATGGACTTAGACTCTCTGAAACACTTAACGTTGTTCCTGTCAGTTATTTGATCACAGCAACGTGACAATCATTAATACAACAGGATGGCAGTCGGTTAAGAAAGAGACCCCAACCAAGTGCAGCATCTACTCTGCCCAGTCCAACCTCGCTGCTTCTGTGTCTGGAACAATGGACAGTAGCAGACAGGCACAGAACAGCCAGTGTTAACAAGTGTACACTTTTGTAAATAACCCCCTTCCTTCCTTCATGAACTTAATACACAGAGTGAACACCTCTGCAGGAATGACTGCTGGGCAGCCCTCTCGCACCTGGCTGCTCAGGCATCCGTGCACAACTCCTTAACTCTTCCTCTCTCCAACACCAACGACGGTTTTTGGAATGTTTTTTCAGTCTCCTGTTCACTTTAGAAACTGCTGTCCACATGAGCACCATGGGGCTGCTATATTCAGCTCACTAGTCGGCTGTCTCTACATGACCTCTGGCCTTTCCTATAGTCAGCAGTGGTCACTATCAACTTCCAGCTCACTTTATGCACAAAGGACAGCAACCTGCTGTGCTAACAAAGTCCTGAGAGGTACCCATTTCCTTTACAATTGTTTTTTTTTTTTTTTAAGATTTATTTATTTATTATATATGAATACACTGTAGCTGTCTTCAGACACACCAGAAAAGGGCATCAGATCTCATTACAGATGGTTGTGAGCCACCATGTGGTTGCTGGGATTTGAACTCAGGACCTCTGAAAGTGAAGTCAGTGCTCTTAACCACTGAGCCATCTCTCCAGCCCCCTCCTTTACAATTGTTAATAGATGTCTTTTTTTTATTATTTATATTCATGAGTGTTTTTCCTGCATGTAAGTATGCCTGGTGTCCGCAGAGGTCAGGAGAGAGTGTCAGATTCCCACCTATACTGGAGATACAGAAGTTGTGAGCTGACAAGTGGGTATTGGGGATCAAACCCAGGTCCTCTTAAAGAACACCAAGTGCTCATAACTGCTAAGCCAACTCTTAGCCCTACTCATGTTTTTTGGGGGAAAAAAATGTTCAAATCTAGCACTGAGCACATAAGGCTAATGAAGTAACTGGGTCTTCATTTCTAATCCTCGTCCAGATAAATAACAATGCTGGCTACACAGGGAATTAATTTCTTCTTCATTAGGACAGAAATGAAGGAATCTGACTTTCACTTGTTCACAGTGGTGCAGTAAAACACTGTGGATTGGGCAACACATGGCTGCTCCTGAGGTAAATACACAGTGGGGTACTAATGTCCCAGAGGGGAGGAGACGGGCTTTCTAGCTCAGGCTGGGAAGATGTGTACGTATGCAGTCCCCACACGCTGTGGACAGACACACTTGTGGTTGGACTGACTCACATTTTATGCCATACATATCAAGTCCCCAGTACCAACCCAGACCAGTGTTATTTACCAGACTCCGGTACACAGGCACAGCGATAACTAAATATTTCATGGGGTATGTGGCCCAGTGCCTTTCCACCTCTACTCACAGGGCCACCTACTACATCTCTTCAGATGGCGGGGCTGGCAAGACAGCCTCACTGGCACCTCTGTTTCCCACCATGTTGTGCTGACAAGACATCCAATGCAGTAACTTGGAGACCCACCCTATAAATACCTGATAATACTGGACAACAACATTTGGTGTCACCTGCCTTCCTCTGACCTCTTACTCCACATGACACTCAAGACTTCAATTCACACCTCAGAGAGGATACTCGTGCGACCTCAGGACTCCAGAGGTAGGGCACCGACATAAAGCACCTTGTATTCTGGTGCCACACAGACTCAGGACTCATGCTGTAACCACCATGCACCTGCTTCTCCACACTGCTGTTCCCAGAGCTCCATGTACAGTGTCTGGGAGGAAGCTGGATATGCCTTTCCTGTCAGGGTCAGTGGACAGGCCCTCAAAATGGCCTGAGAGATAGGCTTCTCAATAATCCTGAGCCTATTAGCTCATCCTGTCCCTTGGATTTTGGGTCTTGCTACTCCAAAAGCACACAGGTCACCACTCTGTTGCTTCTGCCTCTGGTATGTACAGAGGCAGGGGTACACACACACCTGTGGTAATTCCCTGCAATGCTAAGACTGTGGGCCCACTACTGTGTGCCCCAAAGGAGGCACATCTCAGAAACAGTGACAAGTTCTTGGCAGCTCCTGGTGCATTCAGCCAGTAGAGCTTAGCTGTTCTGTTCTCACATAATCCAGTGCTGAAACACTGCGCAGTGACAACAGCTCACACTGGCCCAGTGCTGGCTAAGACTCTCCATGACTCCACACTCTGCAGCAGGGGAGTCTATAGCTCAAGCATTCTGCAGCCTTGTCATCAGCTAAGCCCAAGGCACAGGTTCCTAAGCACCCTACTAGTGCTAACATCACACACCAAGGAAAAGTATCGCTGTCTCTGTCTCTGTCTCTCACACACACACTATCATACACATGAAAATGTCCCACACTCACAGGCTGTCTGATTTTATATGTAAACTACAGATACACTACTTGACATTTTATAATCTTACTCTAAATCCTTATGATAGAAATCTTTCATAAAACTTAAGTATGTTTTCTAATATCTTTACAAAAACTTAGTTTACATTAAAAGCCACCTAATGATTTAAGATTTCAATTTTGCAAGATGAAAAAGGTGCCAGATATCAGTCAAGTAACAATGTAGATGTGCTTAATACTACTGGGCTGTCCACTCCAACACAACTCACAACATTATCCAAAAAGTCACACTCAGAATACAGCAAGTCATGAGGTTAAATAAGATGCTATTACAAGAAAGAGGGAGTGCTAGAGAGTCAGCTCAGTGGATGAGAGTACGTATTGCTCTTGCAGAGGTTCCAAGTCTGGTTGCTAGCACCCACATTGGCTAGCTTATTACCGTATATAACTAACTCCAGTTTCAGGGGCTCCAACTCCATTCTTCTGGCCTCCACAAGCACCGAAAACATACATGCAGAAAAACACTCATGCATATAAAAGAAACCCCAAAAAACCACCACCACCAGCACCACAACCTTTGAAAAAGTGGCATCTGCTACAGAAGATCTGGATGGTGTAGTCATACAGTGCAGGTACCTGGCTCAGGGCTGCCTGTGCTCTTTGATGCTAGGCTGCCATCCCTAGGATAAGCCAGAGGCCTTGCTGCCTCAGCATGATACACTGAACTTTCCAAGGGTACTGCTTATTTCTCCATCTTGACATGGGGTCTTGCTCTGTTCCCAGAACGGCCTCTAAACCTTGTTCTCAAGTGAGGACTCTTCCTCAGTTTACTGAGGAGACAAGCCTACAGGAACAAAGCACTATGCTTGACCAGGACTGGGTTTTGAAGTGAGTGAAAATAAATGTATTTCCTGAGTACTGCAAAAACCCACACCAAATGAGCCAACAGAGAAACTCCACCAGGTGCCAGGCCATCTAGACAACAGTAACATGGAAGGGTGAGCTGCTAACATGGAGGCACATTTGGAAGCACTTTTCCAGCTAGTCACAAGCTTACAGGGCAAGGCTGGTGCCGTCTGCCTAACCATCTTTTATTCTTTTCTTGAACTTGCTTTGTGGAGAATGGCCTTGAACTCCTCATGACCCAGGCTTCACCTCCCCAGCACCGGAATTACAGTGTGTCACCACACTCAAGTTTATATAGCGGTGGAGACTGCAGCTAGGGCTTTATGCCTGCTAGGTGGCCACCCGACCAACAGCCCTGTCTAATCATCTTCCAGAGCCCTTCAGCCCTTGCACAGGTGTGTGCTAAGGATCCTGTGACTTTCCTAAGACACAGCTATGACATTAAAGGAGTCATGTTCAAAAACTCACAGGTCACCAGCTGAGAGCTTCTGAGGGGCAGCAGTGACCCTGTCCCTGGGTCTGCACACTGAAGGATGGTGCAGGGCCCCTGATTCTGCCCTGAGGCTATGTACCATTCAGGCCATGTCCTTCAACCTCCTTCCCACCTCCAGCTGGCTGACAGGCACTCCTCAGCCTTTTCTGAGGCTAAAGGCTTGCCCTCTATTCCTGCCTCCAGTCCTGGGCCGCATCTGTCAAAGAACTCTTCACTCGGCACTCTTATCTGGAGAGGTCATCCATGTTCCAAAGCAACTGTGTCCAGAACTGCACTGGGCTTTCATCTATACCCTTCTGTCCTGCAGCTCTGGTCTAGGAAATGTCATGCCTCCAGTCAGATTTCCTGGGCCTCTTGGCTATACCTCTGCTCAGTATACAGGCAAGCTTCTGTCTGAGAGGTGTGCCCACAAGCTCCTTCTTCCTCCTTTTCTGGGGCCTCTGTGAGAATCAGCCCGGCTCATGGCAGCTTTCTTAAGTCTTTGGTCAGTCCCTGATTAACCTTTCTAGGTTCTTGGTTGGAAACCGTTGTGTGGCCACTGTGCTGTGGGAACATCTGCCACTGCAGACAGCACCGACCCCTGCATGGCTATTTATTATTACACACAAACACTCAGAAAGGTTTAACTTACAAATCAGTCACACTAAGGGTGACAACAGAAATTATCTATGGAATTAAACTACTACAGTAATAGAAATAACAGAAGTTAAGTGAACAGGCTATGCTGTGCACACCCGTCTTGGTATAATTTAAGATGAAACAGTATACTTGTGATGGGTAAGGCAGTATACTTGTGATTAGGTAGCCTGGGCACAAGGATGTAGCAGCGCCAGACGACTTTAAAAGGATTATTTGAATGTAAACCTCTAGACACAACAACGAGGACAATTCCTAAGTAACTAGTGGGAGGGTAGAGTAG